ACCCACCCACCCACCCACCTGCCTGCCCACACGTGAACAAGCCCCAAACTCTGAAATCCTGAACCCTCATGGACCAGCCCCTACACTACTCTTATAGAGCCAACCCTAAACCCTAAACCCTAAACCTTGAAGTCCAAACTCTGAAACTTGAAACCCTAGACACCCTAAAACCTCCAATGCAAGACCCTCTCCAAAAAGGTGTACGGCTCAGGGTCCCCGAAAGACATCAACCCCAAACCTTAAAAAGCCCCTCAATTGCAACAATCCCTGCCGCCTCCCCTAAACCCAAAATCCAAAACTCAAAACCCCAAACCCAAAACCCCTAAACCCCAAAATCCACAACTCAAAACCCTAAACCCTAAACCCCGCCTCCTGGGGCAATGGCAGCAGCCCCGGCCCCGGCAGGAGAACTTCCTCGCTCAGAGCTTTCGGATCTGTGGAGGATCTGTGGAAGCTTAGGGTCCCTTTAATTCAAGGAAACTACTGGTGGGGAGTTTAGGGTATATAGAGTTTAGGGTTTAGGGTTTAACGGTCTAGGGTTTAGGGTTTAGGTGGGGAGTGTTGGGTATATAGGGCTTCTATGAGGCTTTCATACGGTATATAGACCTTCTGTAAGGCTCCTATACCGGTAACTACCCACCTGAAAATGTCCTAGATCAAGGGGGCCCTAAACCCTAAACCCTAAACCCTAAACCCCTATATGGGTACTCTAAGGGCCCCCCTTTTAAGGGATCTATATCAGTACTCTAAGGGTGTAGGGCTTATGGTACTTGGAATTTCATGGGACTTCGTAACTAAGGTTATAAGTACATTCATTGGAGGTACAACGAAGTATAATTGTAGATACTGACTGTACCTTATTTATGGCCCTAGCTACTAAGTCCCGAGATCCTCGAAGTAGGGATTCGAAAAAAGGTCCTAGGCTTTTCAGCCTCTGCGTTTTTGGTGCTTTTGGCTAAGAGCTGTATGTATATGTGTATATATATATAACCCTAAACCCAAAGCCCGGAAACCCCTAAACCCCTAAACCGTAAGCCCTAAACCCCTAGACCCTAAACCCCTAGACCCCTAAACCCCTAAGCCCCCAAACCCTAAACCCTAAACCCCTAAACCCCAAACGGTTCACACACAGAGTTCCCTTAGAGCATTGAGCATCCCTCAAGGGCCCCAGAGTGCTCAGATGGGGGCCTTCATAAGCAGAATAGGGTTTAGGGGTTTTTGGGGTTAGCGGTTTAGGGGTTTAGGGGTTTGGGGCTTTAGGGGTTTAGGGGTTTAGGGCTTTAGGTCGGTTTTCGGGTTTAGGGCTTCAGGGTTTAGGGGTTTTGGCATTTAGGGGTTTGGGCTTTGGGGGCTTGGGGGTTTAGGGTTTAGGGACCCTAAACCCTAAACCCTAAACCCTAAACCCTATACCCCTAAACCGTTTAGGGCTTCGGATTTAGGGTGCGGCATACCTTTGTAACTTAGGGATGAAGAGAAGCTCTCTGTGGTTCGGGGACGTAACTAGGGTTCAGGGCCTTTAGGGTTTAGGGTTTAGGGTTTAGGGCTTAGGGCTTAGGGTTTAGGGTTTAGGGTTTAGGGTTTCTACCCCCAAGAGCTATGTGGAGGTCTCCCGACTCGGTCGTTAGTCGGACCTGACGTGGGGGGCCGTACTATTTGAACAGGGTGTTGACAGTTGATGGATGCTATACTTTACTTACAATAGGCACTACAATCGATAATATACTTATCATTCAACACCTGTTGTGAACAACCCTAAACCCTAAACCCATAACCCTAAAACCCTAAACCCTAAACCCTAAAACCCTAAAACCCTAAAACCCTAAAACCCTAAAACCCTAAACCCTAAACGTACCAAGGTTCCTGGCGCAGCAGCAGTCCCCAGGGCAGCTGTCGCTGGAACACCGGGCACGAGGCTGGCATTGATCGTGCCGTTGGCCTGGGGTCGACCAGCTTTCGTCACATTTTTACTTACAGGTAGGATAAGGTTCCTTACAGGGACCCTTAAAGGGGCTCCGTAGGGGTATAGGGTGTATGGGGGGGGCCTAATCTCCTGGTGTTGTCACATAGCGTTCTGTTTGAGACTTTACATATAGCGATCATACATCTCCTTCAGTTTAGGGCAGCCTATTGTATTTCTAGGAGGCATGAAGGTAGCCAGAAGAAGTACGGCGACGAGCACGGATGGAGAACTATACACTCCAAAACCCTGACCCCAGAACCAAGAATCCTAAAGCCCTAAAGCCCTTCAGTTGCCGAAGTGCCCTCACGAACCGCGTTTAGCAAATCACTATAGGAACTCTTACTGTAGCCCTGAAATGGCAATGCTTGACAGAACACTATTTCCCATTAGAGGGTCCTTCAGGTACTGCAGTACTGCAGGGTTTATATCATCAACAGTATGCTGTAGCGGCAAAACACGAGAGGAGGATATGGGCCGGAGCTGTTTCTACTTGGGCCCTAAACTCCTAAACTCCAAACCCCCTAAACCGTTAACCATGCCTTCCAACAGAAATCCGCCAACGTGCAGCCCGAGTTGCTGAGGCTGCAGTGACCGCAGCCTCCCGCGCTGCGGCATCCGCGGCCTGTGGAGGTCTGGGGGTTATCTTCTTTCACTGATTACTACCGGTGCTGCTGCTATTGCTACTGCTACTCCTACTACTACTA